ACTGGGATCTCGGTCCAAAAAACCAACCATCACAACCACAGTCGGAGCTGGGGAGCTTGTTCACCCATGATTCACATGCTGCTGACTGGCAGGCAGGGGTCGCCGGAACAGCAGAACATGCGGTTCTGCAAGAGAAAACGTATTGAAAATATGCAGGAAGAAATGTAACTGCTTCTTTCAAGCCATTTTACTGATAGTGGGGACTTCAATAAACTTTTTGATATTTAGCCAATTGCTAGAAGAGAAACTGATCTTGGCTTGTTGAATTCTCTAAGACAGTTTACACAATACAAAATCAATGCGCACAGCAAAGGTATTTAACATAACTGAACTGTTGCACCACTGCACAGTGCTTTCGAAAAGTTGATTGACACATAAGACGAATGCAGTTATTGGAGTTCAGTTGCAATCAGGAAAACTGGTGATCAAGAGCACAACGTAGCAAATCTGAATCTAGTTAATTATTTTCATGTCCACATATGTGAGTCAATAAAATTTAGTGGCCACAAGATATTTTTTTCCAGTGAAGTCATTTGAATTCTTGACAGACAAACTAAAATTTAGGTAATACTTGCAACCACTTAAGTTGAAGCTTTAAGGTATGGCGCGGAGGGTCATGTAGAGTGGAGTTATGGGTTTGGTGAGTGGAGCGTGGTGTAGAGAGAAAGGAGCGCACAGTGCTGTATGGTGTAGAGAGAGGAGAGTGGTGTGAAATGTGTAAAGAGCGGAGCATACAGTGGGGAGGATGGTGTAAAGTGGGGAGGATGGTGTAAAGTGGGGAGTGGAAAGTACAGAGTGGAGTGTACAGTGTGGAGGGTGGTGTAATGTCTGGAACGTGGTGTACTGTGGTGACGAGAGTAGAATGTACTGTGTGGTGTGAACGAACGGTGTGGAGCGTGGTATAGAGAGCGTAGTGTAAAGTCTGGAGCGTGGTGTGAAGTCTGGAGCGTGGTGTACAGTGTGGAGTGGATTGTGGTGGAGAGAGCAGACCATACAGTGTAGAGGGTGGTGTAAAGTCTGGAGCGTGGCTGTACTGTGGTGTAGAGAGCGGATTGTACTGTGTGGTGTGAACGAATGGTGTGGAGCGTGGTGTAGAGTCTGGTGTGTTCAGCGTGGAGGGCCTGGTTACCTGGCGAGTGCATCATGTAGTGTATCCAGCCTGGTGACTGCTGTACTCCCAGATTTCTCCACTCAGTCTCTGTCATCAGATGGTTCTTTGGCACCTGCTTCGCTATGTCTGACGGCAGGATGACATGTCTGGGAATAGCAGGAGAATGAATGGTATTTGGTACTCTTCAGTGATTAAAATTACACAGAGGGTCCTGGGCGTTCGTGCTGAATTTCAAACACAGATCTTCATATTATAACTGAAGGGCCATACTCAACAGTCTGTGAATTCATGGTTCATACAACATCCATTTTAAGGCCTTTTCCAAGGCTTACAGTAAGATCAAATTGTGTTTTCAAACTGTTGTGACTTTTACTTAATGTCATTGTCAGAATGGATGGTTTGAGGATTCAAATACATCATTAAAACAGTCCACACACGTTTCAATTTGCATCAATCAAAATACAGATTTATGTCTTGTTTGCCATCATCATGCACTTTTAGAGAAAAAACGTAAGTGCAAATTTATGAACTCTATAGTAACATTAACAATGGTGCCAAATCCAAGATCTCTTCAAGGTAGATTCAAATTTAAGGCTTTTATTAAAGAATATGAAATCCAAGCACTGGGATGATGACTCAAGAGTTTACCTGGATGTACGACGAGACCTAACTGTGATTCAGGGATAGCAATGGAGCACTTTATACAAAGTGATCTCTGCACTACGGCTATTGTAAGCCTTTGTAAAATTGTGGAAGTTACAATCATCACAACACTAACATCACATCTGGGGCCCAGTGCTAGTGTAGTCCATGGAGACTGACGTTGGTTATGAGGCAACAAAATTGAGTGAGTTGTCTATCTTGACTTTGTTAATACTAAGGCTGTTACAATTCATTCGCATATTCGGTGAATCGAACCGTGACCCTTCATGAATTCAATTCGTTATTTGTGGTCACCAGAACCAAATATTCATGAATATTTACATTTTTTTTATGGGGAGTGTGTTTTACTTGAACCCTTTATTTTTTTTCAAAATTAGATATGCAAGAATGCAATATGTACTAGACTTGTAGTAGCGCTAGTCATGTTAGTTTGCCAAGGCCACACGTTACTGTCAACTATACACACCAAATTTGAGTGTCATGAGATGACTGGTTATTGCTGTGACAAATTAACACTGTCAACATGGGCATTCAATATTGGGCATCAATCACTTAACTACAATATTGTATTCATGAATAATTATTCGTACTTGTTACCCAATATTCGTGATACATATTACATTTGCCACATAGTGTATTTGTTACAGCCCTAGTATTAATCCACTCCATGGATCGTTCATCACAATATCATTGCATTGTCAGATCCATGTTTAATTATTTACATGTCACAATGATGAATATTGCAGAGAGAGGCATGTAACAACAAACAAATTAACCTAAACCATGAAACAAAATTTCACTGAAAGTTAATCCAATAATTTAATGTTTTGTCAATAAAATATGCTTAACTAATCTAAATGAAACTGTGACAGTAGTATCAGTTATGACTGTGTGGCCAGAAGTCCTATATTCCTGTTCAAACTTTAGTAATACCATGTTTATTTACCTGTATTCAAACTTTTCATCATAATATTTCTCTGAGTAGGTGATTTGGTTGACAGGCATTTTGGAGAATCGAGTCTGAAAGAGAAAACTCCGGCTATTATTCATTGTTGTTATTAACTCAACAATTGAGACAAGCAGTTACTAGTATCAAATTAAACCATCCAACTATATTCCTGTGACACATACAACCTCATGGAATAAATTGGCATGTATTTTGTTATATTTGGAATTGACCAAAAAGATATCTTGGCTTTGAATCCCACTTGACATTTTTCAAGCAATTAGAGCACAGCAAACACTCCTATTTTTTTTACAATGTATTACAACACATTACAACACTTATCATGGCAAAGAAATGAAGATAAGACGAAACATACACAGCATGATAGTTAATGAATTGGGCATCAACTGAAGACATGTTGGGTTTTGGGTTATTAAGAATGCAACAAAATCGTTTCAGTCCTGACACACCATTCCACCATACCTTCCTGGTGGTTATCATTATGAATGTAGTAGCCTGCATATATTACTGTGTACAAAAGATTTTTTGTCTTGTTTATCTGTATAATTTCAGTGGGTCCAGATGAAGAGGGTGTTGCTGTGTCTGTGCTTGAATCTATTCAGTGACTACTGCTTCAAACATTTATCAAGACATCTAACTCTTGTCATCTAAAATACAAAGATAGTCATCCAGCTGAGTGTCTTATTTTTTGGGGAAAATGAGATTTGTTATTTATATTATCACAAATGACTGTGTTCATAATAAGTGACCTGGTACATTTATATTGGTGATATCATTTTCTGTAGTACAGATTATACGACTATAGTCATATTTATTGTGAATTTACATCAAACAAAACACAAACGCCTCCAAAAAGGCTTCCGCAGTGTTTTCATATTCTGAGTAAAATTACAAGTGCCCAAAATTACACTGAACGCTTTCCATTCACTAATTATTATCGCACAGCCGACGCGACATGTTTGGTCTGCCGTCTGCTTGACTGCCCTTAAGAATGTTGTAAAGCACGAAGAAAATAACCTTATTGTAATTAAGTGCGATGTCTCATTATACACAAATGGTAACATGGGCTACACAAATCAAGTTCTGCAAACATTGGTCAGAGACAAACACAATGTATACCTATGTGCACAAAATAGTGCTGGTTTGGTGTTTGTTGACAGAATTCATGCGTCGCGCGCCTGCAATTTGAAATCTCGCGGTATTTCACATCGTACGATAAATACTATTTGTAAGACACCTTTCAGTATGACTAGTATCGTTGAGAGGGTGTTTGTTGATTTCTACACATGTTTGCATGTTAAGTGTTTTGTTAACATCCAACCAATAATATTTTTACCTGAGTTTTAGTTAGGCATTTTATTTCAAGAAATGTTATATGAAATATAGATATAAAAACAGACAAGAGACTTTTCAATATACAAATTACCCTGTTTGACCAGATTCACACTTCGAGCGTTTACAGCGAGCCGTGTAAACAAGCTGAGCTGGAAACACAAAGAGACATAAATGGAAGATAATGATATGAAACACAATCCAAGACAAATAAAAACTTGACGATAATCATAAAAGTGATGGGAAATATATGCAGAAACGCGAGGGAACAAGTCATAGTTGTTTAATTGTCATAGTTGTTTAATTGTATAGTAATTGTATTTTTTTGTCCTAAAACTCTGAAAAATTAACAATTGTTTACACACACGCGCACATATATACATACGCGCACGTGTTCCTGTGTGTGTGCGCATGTGTGATATCATATCATAATCTGTAATTGTAATCTCTCCCTGAAGATTAAATTTATATATTCGTATTAATGAAACTTACAATACTTTCTCTTAAATTGTTGAAATCTCATAATAAATTTGTGGTGGATTTCTTGATATATGGACAACTGTGCATTGATGAACTTCACATCTATCTAAATAATATTTGAGTGTTTGGTACAGTACTCAACTGTTGCCAAGGAAAATTCCCGATACGATAAATTAAAAATGTTTGACGGCTGAAGTTTCTGTGTTCTGGATACAACATGTAACTACTCGTCGACAAATACAATTTACAAAATGTTGTCGTTTCGGTATATGTTAAATTCAACATTGTTCTACATTTCCGAAACCGATAAAATTTTGTTTACATGCTATTAACTTTGGAAATAAACTGGTAATAATCACCACTAAATGTTACCTTACCATCTATACAGTTTATGTAAAGTCGACGTTTTGGATGAGTTTCATCGATATGAAGTAAATCACGCTAATTTCGTGTTCATTTCAGTTTCCTTTGCAGTTTATTGACTTGCTCCGGCAGACAAGATGGCGATGCTTTTGAGGTAGTTGAAATATTGTCAGTGGTTATTTCTTATTATCTTTCCCCATTTGTCCATGAATTAAAATAAGTAGCGTAGTGCACGAGCAAACTTCTAAATTGAAGCACCTCTCACTGACTTTAACTGATAACTGTCCACGAGTAGCTGAAGTGTTGGTTATGCAAGGCGACAATTGAAGGACGCTGCTGTTTTTACGTTTTATCTCATTCCTGTTTATTATGAACCTTCTTCCTTTTGCACATTTGCTTGTCACAATATAAGTTGTTAACACACATAATGTATTGTGTAATTAAGGAAAAAGTTTGATGAGAGCGGTAGACTTGTTATCGATTGACCTTCACCTTTGTGACCTTGATTGGCGTTTTCATAATTCCAATAGCCCAAACTCGTCCCGAGTTGATGCAGTAAATAATCTACAGTAGTTGGCCATAAGTGAATACACTTAAAGAAACATGTTACAACTCATCCTTATCAGATGAGGGATACATATTCAGGTGATATTATTTGACTAGAAATAAATTTAAGGGGGGATATGGGCGGAAGTCTTTCCAGTGAGTCATCATTAGTGAAATTCCCATAGACTTGCCTGTTAATTAAGTCTTGCAAGAATAATTTTCATTAATTTAGTTTCAGTCGAATTGCTTTCAATACTTATCTACCAGCTGGGAAATGATCTCAGCTGCATACATGTAATTACCATTGAATTTTCTGAAGATTATTACGAAAACTGCAACTATTCAAACAACATATATATTAGACATACCAATCAGGTTTAACATGGCTGGCTATGGGATAGATTAAGAGTTGTACTTATATATGGTGCTTAATCAGGTGTCATTCGATAACTAATCAACGGAAAGATGAAATAAAATTATGTAGCTGAAGATGATTTCCAAGTTGTTTGCAAAATATAAAAATAAAATGACTTCTACTCAATTTCTGAAAATTATTCTTGCAACAGTTAATTAACATGTCAGTCTATGGAAATTTCAATAATTATATCTGTAGCAGCGTCAGGATGTAGTTATTGTAGTGACAAGAACCACAAAGCCACTGGGGTGTGAGGCAGATGGACTTTTATTACAACGAATGTAATAAACAAAAGCTTTAGCCAGGTTGGTACGACCTGAGCTCCTGCATTCAATGCATAGGTGATACTGCTGGTGTTTACGTTATCTTATATACATGGGAAAAACACAGTCCAGATCACCATGATCTCGATCCTAGAGACTAAACCGCAACATGCCCGATGACAACCACATAAGATACTGACCAAGAGACTAGATGAAATTAACCTTTAAATACCTAATACCTTATACGCTTGGCTGAACAGAGAACAATAGAACTTACACACTAGTCTGAGCAAGGGACATGCTTTAGAAGGGATTGCAGGGAGAAAAGCATGCAGTGCAAATGAGTATTGCTGAAATAGATTACATTTAAGATTAGATTGATGTTTAGAAGTTAGAAAGGCTAAGGGTGTGATATAAAATGTTGAATATAAAATTATTGATAAAAATGATTAGACTTAGGTTATTTAATGAGATTGTATATCTCATCATAATGACACACAACTTTAAAAGATTCACATGTTTATTATATTTACAACTATATACAATACAAAGTTGAATCTGCCACATGTCTCACTTTTGGCCAACTACTGTAGTTAAGAATTAAATGGAAAGAGCTGATGTGCAGAAAAACTAACTGGCCATATTTCTAATCTTTTACTCAAAACATGGTGTTATCTGGTTTGCAACACTACACGTTCAACTTCCTAATGACTTTTTTTTTTCTGAACAGAATTCACATCAATGGTTTAATGTCAATACTTTTCTGTTGGCAAAAGTACACATAGTAAAGGAAAATCACCTCATCTAATTGATGCAAATTATTCCATGATGAACTGATTGTAAAACCCCCGAAAATTAGCCATGTTTTCTACCGTGCCTCTAACTTATCTGTGGGACCATTCAGAGTGTATGTGTGTGTGCTAGCGTGCGTGTTTGTGTGCGTGTGTGTCACCCATTTTGTTCAAACAGTTGTGCTTACAAATTACGGGAAATTATTGTCACACACTCAATCACGCATACAGAGATATGCATGATGGTTTAATTCTCCATTGTTTTGTTTACAGCATGCATTTTAGGAATTGTATTATCAATGTTTTCATAATGTCATTTTCACACATTTAAATATTTTTGATAAACCACATTCAGTGTTAGTACAAGTGGGTGTTTGTATTAGACTAATCTAGAGTTTGATAAAAGGTACAGGCTGGGTAAAGGCTGCCCAGCTCCAGACACAGGTTGTGGAGACTTGTTCCCATTGCTACACCAGTGATATATGTTGTGTTGCAGATCTGTGGGCAGGCAGTGTCTGCTGAGGCAGCATGCAGTCTTTGTCAATAAGTAAGTATTTCAACATACTGACCCTGGGCAAATGTCAACAACTTGTTTGTTTGTATACACATACTACACTCCAAGTACACTATACTTTAGTTTGTATGGCTCTTAGTTACACTATAAATAACAAAATAATAGAATGTTTTCAAGCTGCATGCAGCTTGACATCATTTCAGAAGGTTTTAGTGTTACCAGTGTATTATAGACTGTGGATGATTGGCTAAAGCTAACATATTTCATAATCATGGTAACGCCATTCTTCGTATTGCTTTTCTAACACGTCCACCATCAGTACTTCAAGGGCCTATTTAGATTACATTCTTAGATCCTCTTCTTACAAGTCATAGCTTTGTAGAGTTGTCTCTATTTTTATACCACCTAATCAAGTGACATTCTGGTTCTAGCAAGAGGGACACAAGAGTACTCAGACCACTGTCAGTGCACAGACTACAATCTGCAAACAGTAATTTTCTCATTTGGTATTGTGTGCAACATCACCATAGCATTGTGGTATCTGCTCTACACTCTGTTTCAGTGTTAGGAAATGGTAGGATTTACACAAATTCCCTGCATGGAGTAGGGTCCATCACACTTCCATGAGTTGTACAAAGTTCATGTCAACCCATTGCATTGATTTTTTCCATGGGTGATGAAGAAACGATGAAGTAATGACAATGTGACATGTTTGATGCAGAGAATCATAGATTATCTCCATTATTCCAGCTTGTTTTCAATTCTTTAACTCTGTGGTTTTTCAGAATTCCAATGTCCTCAAGTACAGCCTATGAGGAAATGAGGAAGTACTGGGACAAAAACAGGCAGCTGAATCGCCCACTCTCACCTTTCCTTTCTTCGTATAGGCAAGTGTTCAGTATACATAAAAAGTATTACTGTTGTTAAAATTATTTACTGTTGACAAAATCGTACACAATGACTGATGACAGGCACATTTACTACTTTTATGTGTCACCTACAACTGGTGATGACTATGCTATAAAAATGTATATTGCAATGGAATAAAACTGATCCATTATTATCATGTACAGTAACCTGCCAATAAATTATTTATTCCCCAAAATGAAACAGTTAGAACAGATTCTGTCAGACTTTAATTTATGTTGAAGCCACTGTGGCTGAGTGGGTTAGATTGCTGACTTAGTGTGCTGATGATTAGGTGTTTTACTCTGAGATTGAGAGTTCGGATACTGGATGGGACTCAAACCCCAAAATTGTACTAGAATCTGTACTTTACTGAGAAAGTGTAATCCCAAATATAACAGGTTTTATTTGACCACTTGTGTTTCCTTACAATTGTATAGTTTCCAAATCTTAGACTTCATGGCTGCAAAGGATTCGTTCATGTGTCATGATGGTATTGCCTAGATTTACTGATTACATTACCCTGGGATATAATCACAGTAAATCAACCTACTAACTTTGATTTTCACTGTGATCCATCTTCAAGTGTTGACAGCTGGTCATTACAAGGAATATTGCCAACTAATCAACAATTTATACTCTTGTGGATATGGCTCAGATATTGCAGACTACAGCATTTATCCCAAATAAAGGAATGCTTTTTTATCTGGCAGGCCTCATCTCGCCATGTCTATGTCTCTGACTCATCGAGTAACCGGTGTGGGCATGTCAGTAGGTGAGTGTACCAGACTCATCGAGTAACCGGTGTGGGCATGTCAGTAGGTGAGTGTACCAGGCTCACCGAGTAACCTGTGTGGGCATGTCAGTAGGTGAGTGTACCAGGCTCACCGAACCGGTGGGGCATGTAACCTGTGTGGGCATGTCAGTAGGTGAGTGTACCAGGCTCATCGAGTAACCGGTGAGGGGCATGTCAGTAGGTGAGTGTACCAGATTCATCGAGTAACCGGTGAGGGCATGTCAGTAGGTGAGTGTACCAGTAGGTGAGTGTACCAGACTCATCGAGTAACCGGTGTGGGCATGTCAGTAGGTGAGTGTACCAGGCTCACCGAGTAACCGGTGTGGGCATGTCAGTAGGTGAGTGTACCAGACTCATCGAGTAACCGGTGTGGGCATGTCAGTAGGTGAGTGTACCAGACTCATCGAGTAACGGGTGTGGGCATGTCAGTAGGTGAGTGTACCAGATTCATCGAGTAACCGGTGTGGGCATGTCAGTAGGTGAGTGTACCAGATTCATCGAGTAACCAGTGTGGGCATGTCAGTAGGTGAGTGTACCAGACTCATCGAGTAACCAGTGTGGGCATGTCAGTAGGTGAGTGTACCAGATTCATCGAAGTAACCAGTGAGGGCATGTCAGTAGGTGAGTGTACCAGATTCATCCAGTAACCAGTGAGTGGGCATGTCATTCATCGAGTAACCAGTCAGTGTGGGCATGTCAGTAGGTGAGTATACCAGATTCATCGAGTAACCAGTGTGGGCATGTCAGTAGGTGAGTGTACCAGATTCATCGAGTAACCAGTGTGGGCATGTCAGTAAGTGAGTATACCAGATTCATCCAGTAACCAGTGTGGGCATGTCAGTAGGTGAGTGTACCAGATTCATCGAGTAACCAGTGTGGGCATGTCAGTAGGTGAGTATACCAGACTCATCGAGTAACCAGTGTGGGCATGTCAGTAGGTGAGTGTACCAGATTCATCGAGTAACCAGTGTGGGCATGTCAGTAGGTGAGTGTACCAGACTCATCCAGTAACCAGTGTGGGCATGTCAGTAGGTGAGTATACCAGACTCATCCAGTAACCAGTGTGGGCATGTCAGTAGGTGAGTGTACCAGACTCATCGAGTAACCAGTGTGGGCATGTCAGTAGGTGAGTGTACCAGACTCATCCAGTAACCAGTGTGGGCATGTCAGTAGGTGAGTGTACCAGACTCATCGAGTAACCAGTGTGGGCATGTCAGTAGGTGAGTGTACCAGACTCATCGAGTAACCAGTGTGGGCATGTCAGTAGGTGAGTGTACCAGACTCATCGAGTAACCAGTGTGGGCATGTCAGTAGGTGAGTGTACCAGACTCATCGAGTAACCAGTGTGGGCATGTCAGTAGGTGAGTGTACCAGACTCATCCGGTAACCAGTGTGAGGGCATGTCAGTAGGTGAGTGTACCAGACTCATCGAGTAACCAGTGTGGGCATGTCAGTAGGTGAGTGTACCAGATTCATCCAGTATTACCCGGTGAGGGCAACCAGACTAGGTGTGGGCATGTCAGTAGGTGAGTGTACCAGACTCATCGAGTAACCGGGTGTGGGCATGTCAGTAGGTGAGTGTACCAGACTCATCGAGTAACCAGTGTGGGCATGTCAGTAGGTGAGTGTACCAGACTCATCGAGTAACCAGTGTGGGCATGTCAGTAGGTGAGTGTACCAGACTCATCGAGTAACCAGTGTGGGCATGTCAGTAGGTGAGTGTACCAGATTCATCCAGTAACCAGTTTGGGCATGTCAGTAAGTGAGTATACCAGATTCATCGAGTAACCGGTGTGGGCATGTCAGTAGGTGAGTATACCAGACTCATCGAGTAACCAGTGTGGGCATGTCAGTAGGTGAGTGTACCAGACTCATCGAAGTAACCAGTGTGGGCATGTCAGTAGGTGAGTGTACCAGACTCATCGAGTAACCAGTGTGGGCATGTCAGTAGGTGAGTATACTAAGCTCATCCAGTAACCAGTGTGGGATGTCCGTAGATGGGTCCAGACCAACTTAAAAGGGAAAGTATCATTTCTGTCCTACTTTTGTGTAGCATGATTTGGGAAAGTAGAATTGTCAGAAGATTTCTACAACTGTCTTACCTATTGAAAACGTGAAACAACTATCCTGTTGTGTCCCCCAGGGAGCAAACCCAGCTCCTTGTCTGTCTGTCTGTGTGTGTGTGTGTGTGTGTGTGTGTGTGTGTGTGTGTCTGTCTGTCTGTCTGTCTGTCTGTCTGTCCTCACTGTGTTGTGTTACAGTTGTGTCGGGGGTCTCTGTCCTGCTGTTGTGTCTCCCAGAGGGCTACCCCTACTCTCTGTCTGTCTGACCTCACTGTGTTGTGTTACAGTTGTGTCGGGGGTCTCTATCCTGCTGTTGTGTCTCCCAGGGGGCTACCCTTACTGTCTGTCTGTGTCTGTCTGACCTCACTGTGTTGTGTTACAGTTGTGTCGGGGGTCTCTATCCTGCTGTTGTGTCTCCCAGGGGGCTACCCTTACTGTCTGTCTGTGTCTGTCTGACCTCACTGTGTTGTGTTACAGTTGTGTCGGGGGTATCTGTCCTGCTGTTATGTCTCCCAGAGGGCTATCCCTACTCTCTGTCTGTCTGACCTCACTGTGTTGTGTTACAGTTGTGTCGGGGGTCTCTGTCCTGCTGTTGTGTCTCCCAGAGGGCTACCCCTACTATCTACAGATGATCAAGGACTTGTCCCTGGGCCCGGCTATCATCACTGGGATGAAGTACACACTAGCTCTGCCTGTCACATACCACTTCCTTAATGGAATCAGGCATTTGGTGAGTCATATGAGGCTTGAATTCAAGTAATTATAATTATATGTATTTTTGTCAGCATCAGTTTGTAGTAGAATAAATGGATCTTTAGACATGTATAACACATACAGTTTGACTTGTGTTAGCCCCTGTATAACACATACAGTTTGACTTGTGTTAGCCCTTGTATAACACATACAGCTTGACTTGTGTTAGCCCCTGTATAACACATACAGTTTGACTTGTGTTAGCCCCTGTATAACACATACAGCTTGACTTGTGTTAGCCCCTGTATAACACATACAGCCTGACTTACATTAGCCCCAGTATAACACATACAGCTTGACTTGTGTTAGCCCCTGTATAACACATACAGTTTGACTTGCATTAGCCCCTGTATAACACATAAAGCTTGACTTACATTAGCCCCTGTATAACACATACAGCCTGACTTACATTAGCCCCTGTATAACACATACAGTTTGACTTACATTAGCCCCTGTATAACACATACAGCCTGACTTACATTAGCCCCTGTATAACACATACAGCTTGACTTACATCAGCCCCAGTATAACATACAGTTTGACTTGCATTAGCCCCTGTATAACACATAAAGCTTGACTTACATTAGCCCCTGTATAACACATACAGCCTGACTTACATTAGCCCCTGTATAACACCCGTGAAGATCCGGATTAGAATGAACCTTCAGTAACCCATGTTTGTCGTAAGAGGCAACTAATGGGATCAGGTGGTCAGGCTCGCTGGCTTGGTTGACACATGTCATCGGTTCCCAATTGCGCAGATCGATGCTCATGCTGTTGATCACTGGATTGTCTGGTCCAGACTCAATTATTTACAGATCGCCACCATACAGCTGGAATATTGCTGAGTGAGGTGTAAAACTAAACTCACTCACTCACTCCCCTGTATAACACATACAGTTTGACTTACATTAACCCCTGTGTAACACATACAGCCTGACTGGTTTGAGTATGCTGGATAAAAGATAGTGTATTTGGTTTTAACTTGCATGTGATGACTGTGTTATCGATTTTGTTCTGTTGCTGTCAGCCACTGATCTGTCTGCTGTGCATTCCATACCAACATGCAGTCTAAAACAACATTCATTCACAGAATCAATATTGTGTTTTGCAGGCATGGGATGCTGGATATGGTTTTGCCCTGAAAAATCTGTACCAGTCTGGCTACTTTGTAATGGCCCTCTCCCTGCTCGTATCCTCAGGATTTGTTTTTGGAATGTGAAATCAACAGTAGGTTTTCATCTCAAGCAGCTGAGTTGACAAGTCATCACCGTAACATCGCTAGCAGCTTCACCAGATCTCAGCATTAAGTCATGCTTGCCTGCATGAAGACCAACCGAATACCGCCAGTTTGTTGAAAACAGATTGTATGTGTGATATGACCTGTGACAGATCTGTGTGCTGGACAGAACATGATGGGCACATGAAACCACTTGTGAAGTCAGTTTCGTTTAAACATAAGGTTTTGTCAGGGTTATTTTACACTGAAAACATTAATCATGGCACAAAATCTCTGAGTTTACTCAAACAGTGTGAATTCAGTAGAGACCAACTGTATGATGTGTCCATCATGCTCGTGTTAATGTGCAATTGATCAGACCTAAGATGGTATTGTGCCCTGCAATCTTCTTTATCAGTGAAGCTGTGTTTTGCTGTATTAATGTATTGCATGTTGTGTGTGGTTGAAGGCGAATGTATGCAAGGTAAGGCAGGTGATAGTATTCGGTAATTACATGTACATGTACACAGTAGTGCAATGTGCTTGTATCATAAAGGTGGGAAATGGTTTTCACAGCAGCTGTCTACGTTAAGTGATTTCAAAAGAAATTTGATTAAAGAAATTTGTGGCTATGTGAAATTTTCGTTTGTGCCTATTTGTCTTTTCGAATAATGTTCGAGGCTCTTATGGAATTCCATTTTGTGGAAATGTTGCTTTATGGTTTCAAAAACAGTGCCAATCATGGCCAAATATAGAAACACAGATTGCTTGAACAGAACAGATAGAATTCGACTGCGTTGAATAAAGTTAATTCACATGTGTGAGAAACATATGTAACATACGTGCTTACATTAAAATATATGTTTTGTTAAATATTTCCAGTAAATATATAATGGTTATTGAGTGTTATGTTATATTTTCTGCCATGTTCTTTGTGCAACAAAAGGAACTGTCCTAATACATGCAATAATTCAACACTACCATGCCACAGCCGGAATTAAGCTCAGGGAGCTGCAGACCAAGGTGCAATATTCTGGTTTTCCAGAACCATAAATACTTGCACTGCACAGCATGCTACATCGCTGTTTATCATTATTCTTCAGATATTCCCTGTGCATGGATTGGCCCATTATATCATGCGCCTACATTTGTATGTACAGATCACAGTTGGATATCATCAAACATGAAATTTACAAGCCCTGTTCAGCACTGATCCACATGTACTGAGGGAAACAAATAAAGGATCACAGGAAAATTCAAGCGTTCCTTTAATATTTTACTGTTTTCATCACCAGCTCTGAATAGCTGTGTCGATGAAAACTGGACAATTTTAAAGGAACGCTTGCATTTTCCCGTGATCCTTTATTTGTTGCTCTCAGTATATTTTCCCTATCAGTGATACGTAAGATCAGTCTCCATACTATACATACCAACAAGGGATCACAAAACGAATCTGAACAAGTGATTTAGTGTAAAACTGGTGGCTTTTACAGCTGTACCCATGCTTGTCGTAGGAGGCAACTAACGGGATCAGGTGGTCAGGCCGGCTGACTTGGTTGACGTATGTCATCGTATCCCAGTTGAGTAGATCGATGCTCATGCTGTTGTCTGGTCCAGACTTGATCAGTTACAGACCGCCGCCATAGAGCTGGAATATTGCAGAGTTTGGCGTAAAACTAAACTCACTCACTCACCCAAATGGTGGTCACACCCAGTTTCGATTGTGTTGAATTGATTAGACGATTGACCAACTATTATGTTATCTGTTCAAGAGCGTAAACTTACACCATTATATGTGAAGCACAATTTTCTTTTCAGAAGTGTTTATTAATGCGTTTTATATCAACAAAATAGAACTACAGCGTTGCTGCAATGTTGGAACATGACTTGCTTCCATATCTTAGTCAGCGACTGCTGAGCATCAATATTTGGTAGGCTAAAGGAACATTTTATTGACGTTTGATACACACCCCTACATACATTTACGTATGGTTTTATAAAACAAGGGACTGATTTAGCAAGAACAAGTGGGGCCATATGCCAGCTTTATTGGATTAAGAAGACATCTACTGTCATGATGCTCATTCTCAGACATTTTAAGACTATTCTAGTGAGATATTTCAGTTTTAGCCTACCAGCGATACTCTAAGCTTTGTGTCTGTTCCTAACAAAAACGGATATTTCTGATGCCAGTAACACGCCGTGTAGTTCACCACAGAACCTTGCAGGCGGCAAACAGAAGACCTACAATGCGTGTTTACATCGTTAGTGTACCACAGTAGTAGTATAGGGAGTGGGGAGAAAAAGACGTATAGGTACACCTTGCTTAGAAGCTTCCATACGGGCTAATTCTGCTACCAGCTTAGTAAAAATGAGTGTTTGCCCAAAAACTTCGACAAGACCACTTTCGTCTCTCCCAACGCAAGTGCACTCCCAATTAGAGCTAAGCGGGTGCATGGGTATAGAAACATGCCAGGAACCAAGCTATCGCGCGAAACCTATGCCGAGATCCGATCTGGTCGTTTGTCCCTTCCGGAAGCGAAGAGGAAGTACCACATATCACAAGCCCAATACACGCGAATCCGAGGTGGTATAGACCCCAAGCCACAGACGCCGAGTACTCCCGGCATATCCGAAGACTTCGAGGCCCTGCTGCAGAAGTGTCGCCCTGTGTTGATTTCCGACCGAGAGAAACAAATTCTGGAGCAATCCGGACACACCTTCTACGAGCGCTACCAGATCCCTCGTCAGTTTCTCGAACTCTACTTGCTGTGCTTTCGCCCACTAGTCATAGCCGGCAAAATAGTCAATTTCGTCTACATCTACCCACCCCACCAATTTCGCCCCTCGGCGGGCAAACTCCGAATCATTCTCGCCGACGACTGCTATCCAGGACCTAAGGACAGACACAACCGATGCACTGACTGCCTCGCCGCTCTATCAGAACTGCCTGCTCTCTTCGCACCCGACAACTCTACATGCAAGTGTTGTGCCATCGACCACTGCGTCGACAGCAAGAAATGCGTTCTCTGGGAAAAGAAAGCGATAGACTACACACCCCAGGAGTGACTCCCACTCGAGGTTCCAGAAGAAATCATGGGCGACAGCTGGGGTGTGTAGTCTATCGCTTTCTTTTCCCAGAGAACGCATTTCTTGCTGTCGACGTTGTGTCTGTCCTTAGGTCCTGGATAGCAGTCGTCGGCGAGAATGATTCGGAGTTTGCCCGCCGAGGGGCGAAATTGGTGGGGTGGGTAGATGTAGACGAAATTGACTATTTTGCCGGCTATAACTAGTGGGCGAAAGCACAGCAAGTAGAGTTCGAGAAACTGACGAGGGATCTGGTAGCGCTCGTAGAAGGTGTGTCCGGATTGCTCCAGGATTTGTTTCTCTCGGTCGGAAATCAACACAGGGCGACACTTCTGCAGCAGGGCCTCGAAGTCTTCGGATATGCCGGGAGTACTCGGCGTCTGTGGCTTGGGGTCTGTACCACATCGGATTCGCGTGTATCGGGCTTGTGATATGTGGTACTTCCTCTTCGCTTCCGGAAGGGACAAACGACCAGATCGGATCTCGGCATAGGTTTCGCGCGATAGCTTGGTTCCTGGCATGTTTCTATACCCATGCACCCGCTTAGCTCTAATTGGGAGTGCACTTGCGTTGGGAGAGACGAAAGTGGTCTTGTCGAAGTTTTTGGGCAAACACTCATTTTTACTAGGCTGGTAGCAGAATTAGCCCGTATGGAAGCTTCTAAGCAAGGTGTACCTATACGTCTTTTTCTCCCCACTCCCTATACTACTACAGTTCAAACAATGCTTGTCACATTCACACAAACATGACCACCGCAGCTTTTGTAGGTCGTTGTTCACTATTTCAACCTCTATCTTGTTTGCCAAAGCCTCTTTCGTTAAATATTGGAAGTCTTGTTTTCGATACATTCAAAATGGCGACACTACTGAGGTACAGTAGATTATTCATCGGATTAATTGCGAAAATCAACATACGTTGTTGAGCGTAAATTTTATGTTCAAAGACTTTTATTGCACTGACTTTGTGAATGATTGTTCTGCTAATCGGTAATACTTACACCATGAATAATAGGCTATAGTGGCATATTTTTGGTAGACTCAAGCAAAAGTGTAACACCGTAAGACCATATTAGATGAAAAGTGATTTGATTCTTCCAGTGATAAACAAAGCCAGTCTTACTGATGAATCTTATTTGCGTTAGATAAATCACTATTCACATTTTCAGTACGTTATCGTTTAAGAAATGCACGACTTCCCCTCTGAACAACCTTGACCAGTGAAGATAACTCTAAAACAGTTCCTCACAAACGGCTGTGTTCTAAGTTTTAAGCATGGCTCTGACGCGCATAGATAGCCGGAAATCAGCTTGTAAAAGCCGTTCGGCCTAACGCAAGTTACATGGTATTGTTCAACCCTTTATCGTCGGCCAAATTTCCTTGTTAGTTCCAAAATGTTCGGAAATTGAAGTTTAAAGAAGCAGAGAAGAGTTAAAAACGAAACTTTCATTTCTTCACCTTAGTACTTGTTGAGAAAATGTATCCCAATTGAAAAGCAGACAAGATGGACGAAAGAAATCCGTTCCTATCGGCCTTGCCCCAAATCGTAACGGCAGATAATAATTAACTGTACCAGTCATCGCCATCGTCTAAACACTTTTGTCTGAGGCACGGTAATGGAAGATGTACAGTAGAGTTACTTCCATCAGCCGTGTCAGGATCTGCTGCTCGTTAAACTGACTCCACGTAATAGTGTTCAATCTGACGCAAATGTTAAGTGGTAATTGTTGCTAGTGACACATGCACATCATTCTGAATTCATTAATTACAAGGAAGCCTTTTTTCCAATGTTTGTGTGATTCTACAACTATATAAGTCCCCCATATCGGACTGTGTATAGTTACACCATCAGAAGGCGGTGGCGTGATGTACCAGCGAGTGGTCAGTCAGTGACCAGTAATAATGACAGTCCGTCCCAACCAGGAATGGATGTATCCAAGCAATAACTTTGGAATCGGGTAGTGTGATTATGATTAACAGTTGATAACCCATGCTGTTTTCAAGACAACACTAGTTACCAGTAGTAGAGGACAGTCACCGGCGATCCTGATCTCCGCAAGGAGTCGTTATTCGTTTTTCTTTCTCTTTTTTTTGTACACTATCTTCTGTTTTGAGTAGACTAATAGTTCATTGAGTATAGAAATGGGTGTACTTCGTTGATTCAAACACCCCAAGCTATCTTAAAATTGGTTGGAGAAGTGAGGACTTCAGTCAATTTGGTCTACATCACCACTGCCACGGCTCTGAATGACTGTTTGTAACGATGCCTCTTTGTTTGTAACGTCATCAGAGCACTGAACAGACACAACCTTCTGAGTCTGCGGCTGCTTAGTATCAACACTTGGTAAGTTAACGGGACATTTTATGTAGAGGGTAATGTCCGAGTAACTCTCCATTCTCCATGGAGAGTTACGAGGATATTACCCTACTTAAATTACATTGAAAGTATTGGGAATACTTCTGTTATCAAAATAAAATGACAAAATGAAGGTTTTAATCTGAAACTGGTACACATTGCCCCATTCCTGAAAAGTAATGGAGCTAGCAGACAATGAAATGATGTCACAAATGTAATTTAAAGTAAGATGTTTCTTTTTTAAATCTACCAGTGACACTCCGGGCTTTGTTTCTGTTCAAAACTAAAACATATATTTATGTTGCATGAAACATGCCCTCAACAGATTTTATAAGCGTTATTTTTTCCAACAGCCACCGTCAAGGTGTTTTGCTTCCAGTAGCACCCTGTCGTCATAGAAGTAAATAGTCTAAGGTACATTCACGAGGCTATATTTCATATGTTGGCTGTTGACTGTATAGTAGGCTTTCTGGGAATCATTCCTTGGACCCCTTGATAATATCTCCCACAAACAGGGAGACCCAGGTAAATGCTGGATACGTGGTGTGTCATTGGACAGTCGCATTTAGTTGTGGGTCAAAGCCTAAGTTGTTTGAGCTAAACGCCCATGATTGTAAGTGTACAGGGCAACGGTGCAGAAACAACAGCATGCATCTTTCAGATCGACTGACTGGTTATTTGAAAACAATATCAGTTAATGTTTTCACATTTACCATTGGGGTTAACGAAATTAAAATATCTTGACTGATGTTTAAGTTACTATGGTGATGACAGGATGTCCATGACGTCATCGCGAGGATACGAGGAAATGAAGCAATACTGGGACAAAAACAGAGAGTTGAGACGCCCGCTGTCTCCCTTCCTAAGATACAAGCGAGTCCAAAGTGTGCATGTAATGATGTTACATCGAGGTATGTTACTGTGTCGGGGGTCTCTATCCTGCTGTTGTGTCTCCCAGAGGGCTACCCCTACTCTCTGTCTGTCTGACCTCACTGTGTTGTGTTACAGTTGTGTCGGGGTCTCTATCCTGCTGTTGTGTCTCCCAGGGGCTACCCCTACTCTCTGTCTGTCTGACCTCACTGTGTTGTGTTACAGTTGTGTCGGGGTCTCTATCCTGCTGTTGTGTCTCCCAGGGGGCTACCCCTACTCTCTGTCTGTCTGACCTCACTGTGTTGTGTTACAGTTGTGTCGGGGTCTCTGTCCTGCTGTTGTGTCTCCTAGAGGGCTACCCCTACTCTCTGTCTGTCTGACCTCACTGTGTTGTGTTACAGTTGTGTCGGGGTCTCTGTCCTGCTGTTGTGTCTCCCAGGGGGCTACCCCTACTCTCTGTCTGTCTGACCTCACTGTGTTGTGTTACAGTTGTGTCGGGGTCTCTGTCCTGCTGTTGTGTCTCCCAGGGGGCTACCCCTACTTTCTGTCTGTCTGACCTCACTGTGTTGTGTTACAGTTGTGTCGGGGTCTCTGTCCTGCTGTTGTGTCTCCTAGAGGGCTACCCCTACTCTCTGTCTGTCTGACCTCACTGTGTTGTGTTACAGTTGTGTCGGGGGTCTCTGTCCTGCTGTTGTGTCTCCCAGGGGGCTACCCCTACTCTCTGTCTGTCTGACCTCACTGTGTTGTGTTACAGTTGTGTCGGGGTCTCTGTCCTGCTGTTGTGTCTCCTAGAGGGCTACCCCTACTCTCTGTCTGTCTGACCTCACTGTGTTGTGTTACAGTTGTGTCGGGGTCTCTGTCCTGCTGTTGTGTCTCCCAGAGGGCTACCCCTACTCTCTGTCTGTCTGACCTCACTGTGTTGTGTTACAGTTGTGTCGGGGGTCTCTGTCCTGCTGTTGTGTCTCCCAGGGGGCTACCCCTACTCTCTCTGTCTGTCTGACCTCACTGTGTTGTGTTACAGTTGTGTCGGGGTCTCTGTCCTGCTGTTGTGTCTCCCAGAGGGCTACCCCTACTCTCTGTCTGTCTGACCTCACTGTGTTGTGTTACAGTTGTGTCGGGGTCTCTGTCCTGCTTGTTGTGTCTCCCAGAGGGTTACCCCTACTATCTGTCTGTCTGACCTCACTGTGTTGTGTTACAGTTGTGTCGGGGGTATCTGTCCTGCTGTTGTGTCTCCCAGGGGGCTACCCCTACTCTCTGTCTGTCTGACCTCACTGTGTTGTGTTACAGTTGTGTCGGGGGTATCTGTCCTGTTGTTGTGTCTCCCAGAGGGCTACCCCTACTCTGTCTGTCTGACCTCACTGTGTTGTGTTACAGTTGTGTCGGGGTCTCTGTCCTGCTGTTGTGTCTCCCAGAGGGCTACCCCTACTCTCTGTCTGTCTGACCTCACTGTGTTGTGTTACAGTTGTGTCGGGGTCTCTGTCCTGCTGTTGTGTCTCCCAGGGGCTACCCCTACTCTCTGTCTGTCTGACCTCACTGTGTTGTGTTACAGTTGTGTCGGGGTCTCTGTCCTGCTGTTGTGTCTCCCAGGGGGCTACCCTACTCTCTGTCTGTCTGACCTCACTGTGTTGTGTTACAGTTGTGTCGGGGTCTCTGTCCTGCTGTTGTGTCTCCCAGAGGGCTACCCCTACTCTCTGTCTGTCTGACCTCACTGTGTTGTGTTACAGTTGTGTCGGGGTCTCTGTCCTGCTGTTGTGTCTCCCAGGGGCTACCCTACTCTCTGTCTGTCTGACCTCACTGTGTTGTGTTACAGTTGTGTCGGGGGTCTCTGTCCTGCTGTTGTGTCTCCCAGGGGCTACCCCTACTCTCTGTCTGTCTGACCTCACTGTGTTGTGTTACAGTTGTGTCAGGGGTCTCTGTCCTGCTGTTGTGTCTCCCAGAGGGCTACCCCTACTCTCTGTCTGTCTGACCTCACTGTGTTGTGTTTACAGTTGTGTCGGGGGTCTCTATCCTGCTGTTGTGTCTCCCAGGGGCTACCCCTACTCTCTGTCTGTCTGACCTCACTGTGTTGTGTTACAGTTGTGTCGGGGTCTCTGTCCTGCTGTTGTGTCTCCTAGAGGGCTACCCCTACTCTCTGTCTGTCTGACCTCACTGTGTTGTGTTACAGTTGTGTCGGGGTCTCTGTCCTGCTGTTGTGTCTCCCAGGGGGCTACCCCTACTCTCTGTCTGTCTGACCTCACTGTGTTGTGTTACAGTTGTGTCAGGGGTCTCTGTCCTGCTGTTGTGTCTCCCAGGGGCTACCCCTACTCTCTGTCTGTCTGACCTCACTGTGTTGTGTTACAGTTGTGTCAGGGGTCTCTGTCCTGCTGTTGTGTCTCCCCAGAGGGCTACCCCTACTCTCTGTCTGTCTGACCTCACTGTGTTGTGTTACAGTTGTGTCGGGGTCTCTGTCCTGCTGTTGTGTCTCCCAGAGGGTTACCCCTACTATCTGTCTGTCTGACCTCACTGTGTTGTGTTACAGTTGTGTCGGGGGTCTCTGTCCTGCTGTTGTGTCTCCCAGGGGGCTACCCCTACTCTCTGTCTGTCTGACCTCACTGTGTTGTGTTACAGTTGTGTCGGGGGTCTCTGTCCTGTTGTTGTGTCTCCCAGAGGGGCTACCCCTACTCTCTGTCTGTCTGACCTCACTGTGTTGTGTTACAGTTGTGTCGGGGTCTCTGTCCTGCTGTTGTGTCTCCCAGAGGGCTACCCCTACTATCTGTCTGTCTGACCTCACTGTGTTGTGTTACAGTTGTGTCGGGGTCTCTGTCCTGCTGTTGTGTCTCCCAGGGGCTACCCCTACTCTCTGTCTGTCTGACCTCACTGTGTTGTGTTACAGTTGTGTCGGGGTCTCTGTCCTGTTGTTGTGTCTCCCAGAGGGCTACCCCTACTCTGTCTGTCTGACCTCACTGTGTTGTGTTACAGTTGTGTCGGGGGTCTCTGTCCCGCTGTTGTGTCTACCAGAGGGCTATCCCTACTATCTGTCTGTCTGACCTCACTGTGTTGTGTTACAGTTGTGTCGGGGTCTCTGTCCTGCTGTTGTGTCTCCCAGGGGGCTACCCCTACTCTCTGTCTGTCTGACCTCACTGTGTTGTGTTACAGTTGTGTCGGGGTCTCTGTCCTGCTGTTGTGTCTCCTAGAGGGCTACCCCTACTCTCTGTCTGTCTGACCTCACTGTGTTGTGTTACAGTTGTGTCGGGGTCTCTATCCTGTTGTTGTGTCTCCCAGGGGGCTACCCCTACTCTCTGTCTGTCTGACCTCACTGTGTTGTGTTACAGTTGTGTCGGGGTCTCTGTCCTGCTGTTGTGTCTCCTAGAGGGCTACCCCTACTCTCTGTCTGTCTGACCTCACTGTGTTGTGTTACAGTTGTGTCGGGGTCTCTGTCCTGCTGTTGTGTCTCCCAGGGGGCTACCCCTACTCTCTGTCTGTCTGACCTCACTGTGTTGTGTTACAGTTGTGTCGGGGTCTCTGTCCTGCTGTTGTGTCTCCCAGGGGGCTACCCCTACTCTCTGTCTGTCTGACCTCACTGTGTTGTGTTACAGTTGTGTCGGGGGTCTCTGTCCTGCTGTTGTGTCTCCTAGAGGGCTACCCCTACTCTCTGTCTGTCTGACCTCACTGTGTTGTGTTACAGTTGTGTCGGGGTCTCTGTCCTGCTGTTGTGTCTCCCAGGGGGCTACCCCTACTCTCTGTCTGTCTGACCTCACTGTGTTGTGTTACAGTTGTGTCGGGGGTCTCTGTCCTGCTGTTGTGTCTCCCAGGGGGCTACCCCTACTCTCTGTCTGTCTGACCTCACTGTGTTGTGTTACAGTTGTGTCGGGGTCTCTCTGTCCTGCTGTTGTGTCTCCCAGGGGCTACCCCTACTCTCTGTCTGTCTGACCTCACTGTGTTGTGTTACAGTTGTGTCGGGGTCTCTGTCCTGCTGTTGTGTCTCCCAGGGGGCTACCCCTACTCTCTGTCTGTCTGACCTCACTGTGTTGTGTTACAGTTGTGTCGGGGTCTCTGTCCTCCTGCTGTTGTGTCTCCTAGAGGGCTACCCCTACTCTCTGTCTGTCTGACCTCACTGTGTTGTGTTACAGTTGTGTCGGGGTCTCTGTCCTGCTTGTTGTGTCTCCCAGGGGCTACCCCTACTATCTGTCTGTCTGACCTCACTGTGTTGTGTTACAGTTGTGTCGGGGGTCTCTGTCCTGCTGTTGTGTCTCCCAGGGGGCTACCCCTACTCTCTGTCTGTCTGACCTCACTGTGTTGTGTTACAGTTGTGTCGGGGTCTCTGTCCTGCTGTTGTGTCTCCCAGGGGGGCCTACCCCTACTCTCTGTCTGTCTGACCTCACTGTGTTGTGTTTACAGTTGTGTCGGGGTCTCTGTCCTGCTGTTGTGTCTCCCAGGGGCTACCCCTACTCTCTGTCTGTCTGACCTCACTGTGTTGTGTTACAGTTGTGTCAGGGTCTCTGTCCTGCTGTTGTGTCTCCTAGGGGGCTACCCCTACTCTCTGTCTGTCTGACCTCACTGTGTTGTGTTACAGTTGTGTCGGGGTCTCTGTCCTGCTGTTGTGTCTCTCCCAGAGGGCTACCCCTACTCTCTGTCTGTCTGACCTCACTGTGTTGTGTTACAGTTGTGTCGGGGGTCTCTGTCCTGCTGTTGTGTCTCCCAGAGGGCTACCCCTACTCTCTGTCTGTCTGACCTCACTGTGTTGTGTTACAGTTGTGTCGGGGTCTCTGTCCTGCTGTTGTGTCTCCCAGGGGGCTACCCCTACTCTCTGTCTGTCTGACCTCACTGTGTTGTGTTACAGTTGTGTCGGGGGTCTCTGTCCTGCTGTTGTGTCTCCTAGAGGGCTACCCCTACTCTCTGTCTGTCTGACCTCACTGTGTTGTGTTACAGTTGTGTCGGGGTCTCTGTCCTGCTTGTTGTGTCTCCCAGAGGGTTACCCCTACTATCTGTCTGTCTGACCTCACTGTGTTGTGTTACAGTTGTGTCGGGGGTATCTGTCCCACTGTTGTGTCTCCCAGGGGGCTACCCCTACTCTCTGTCTGTCTGACCTCACTGTGTTGTGTTACAGTTGTGTCGGGGGTATCTGTCCTGTTGTTGTGTCTCCCAGAGGGCTACCCCTACTCTGTCTGTCTGACCTCACTGTGTTGTGTTACAGTTGTGTCGGCGGTCTCTGTCCCGCTGTTGTGTCTACCAGAGGGCTATCCCTACTATCTGTCTGTCTGACCTCACTGTGTTGTGTTACAGTTGTGTCGGGGTCTCTGTCCTGCTGCTGTGTCTCCCAGGGGGCTACCCCTACTCTCTGTCTGTCTGACCTCACTGTGTTGTGTTACAGTTGTGTCGGGGGTCTCTGTCCTGCTGCTGTGTCTCCCAGGGGGCTACCCCTACTCTCTGTCTGTCTGACCTCACTGTGTTGTGTTACAGTTGTGTCGGGGGTCTCTGTCCTGCTGTTGTGCCTCCCAGAGGGCTACCCCTACTCTCTGTCTGTCTGACCTCACTGTGTTGTGTTACAGTTGTGTCGGGGTCTCTGTCCCACTGCTGTGTCTACAAGAGGGCTATCCCTACTCTCTGTCTGTCTGACCTCACTGTGTTGTGTTACAGTTGTGTCGGGGTATCTGTCCTGCTGCTGTGTCTCCCAGGGGGCTACCCCTACTCTCTGTCTGTCTGACCTCACTGTGTTGTGTTACAGTTGTGTCGGGGTCTCTGTCCCACTGCTGTGTCTACAAGAGGGCTATCCCTAGTCTCTGTCTGTCTGACCTCACTGTGTTGTGTTACAGTTGTGTCGGGGTATCTGTCCTGCTGTTGTGTCTCCCAGAGGGCTACCCCTACTCTGTCTGTCTGACCTCACTGTGTTGTGTTACAGTTGTGTCGGGGGTATCTGTCCTGCTATTGTGCCTCCCAAAGGGCTACCCCTACTCTCTGTCTGTCTGACCTCACTGTGTTGTGTTACAGTTGTGTCGGGGGTCTCTGTCCTGCTGTTGTGTCTCCCAGAGGGCTACCCCTACTCTCTGTCTGTTTGACCTCACTGTGTTGTGTTACAGTTGTGTCGGGGGTCTCTGTCCTGCTGCTGTGTCTCCCAGGGGGCTACCCCTACTCTCTGTCTGTCTGACCTCACTGTGTTGTGTTACAGTTGTGTCGGGGTCTCTGTCCTGCTGTTGTGCCTCCCAGAGGGCTACCCCTACTCTCTGTCTGTCTGACCTCACTGTGTTGTGTTACAGTTGTGTCGGGGGTCTCTGTCCTGCTGTTGTGCCTCCCAGAGGGCTACCCCTACTCTCTGTCTGTCTGACCTCACTGTGTTGTGTTACAGTTGTGTCAGGGTCTCTGTCCTGCTGTTGTGCCTCCCAGAGGGCTACCCTACTCTCTGTCTGTCTGACCTCACTGTGTTGTGTGTTGTGTTACAGTTGTGTCGGGGTCTCTATCCTGCTGTTGTGTCTCCCAGAGGGCTACCCCTACTCTCTGTCTGTCTGACCTCACTGTGTTGTGTTACAGTTGTGTCGGGGTCTCTGTCCCACTGCTGTGTCTACAAGAGGGCTATCCCTACTCTCTGTCTGTCTGACCTCACTGTGTTGTGTTACAGTTGTGTCGGGGTATCTGTCCTGCTGTTGTGTCTCCCAGAGGGCTACCCCTACTCTGTCTGTCTGACCTCACTGTGTTGTGTTACAGTTGTGTCAGGGGGTATCTGTCCTGCTGTTGTGTCTCCCAGAGGGCTACCCCTACTATCTACAGATGATCAAGGACTTGTCCCTGGGCCCGGCTATCATCACTGGGATGAAATACACACTAGCTCTGCCTGTCACATACCACTTCCTTAATGGAATCAGGCATTTGGTGAGTACTCATGGAAGACTTTGTCGAATTCTGATTTCAGTCTTGCGAAACTTGTTCCGATGGGTCAAATCAACTGGCCAAATGCCACCCAACTCTTCCACCAACCTTCATCAAAATTGGGGCATTGATAAAACTACTTCTTCATAGGTCAGGCCCAGGGCGTCATCTTGTATAATAATGTCCCTCCCTTACTTGCCATGTTGACCTGAAATCAACAAAAACAATTGCGAGGTGATCACTGAATTGATGTTAACATACGCTTAAACTAGTGTGTTATGTATATAGTCAAAGAACCATTTATGAACTCTTTAAATCTGCCCAGTCTTATAACAAAATGTGTTTAAATATATACATAATGTTATAGATGCCTTACGAGGGTACAATAGTCTATTTACATAAAACAAGATAGTTTCACCGAATTGATGACAGTAAGACATAATACACATTTGTTCCAGGTTTGGGACGCTGGTTATGGATTTGGGAAGAAAGACATGTACACCTCGGGTCACCTCGTTTTAGTGCTGTCCCTCGCTATATCATCCATGTTGGTGTTTATGCTTTGATGTTGCCACCCCATCGCCTTCCGGCACAGCGCTGGCTTACTTCAAGTCGTGTACAGTAGGACACCAGACGTCGAAGGACATTAACTGCATGTGCTAAAATAAAATGTTCATAAATACTACTCGTTTTAGAAACCTGTCACACAGACTATCATAGTATGTAAACATATAGGACACATAATTGTGGTGACGATCCGTTTTGGAATTGATCTTCAGCAACCCATGCTTGTCGTAAGAGGCGACTAACGGGATCGGCTGGTCAGGCTGGGTTGACACATGTCGTCGTATCCCAATTGCGTAGGTCGATGCTCATGCTGTTGATCGCTGGATTGTCTAGTCCAGACGCGACTATTTACAGCCCGCCGCCACATAGCTGGAATATTGCTGAGTGCGGTGTAAAACTAAACTCACTCACTCACCTTAGGGTTAAAACGTCTCCCTACTCCTCCATCCAGCTTGGGTGACAAACTGTACAAACAGTTGGGTGTGAAAGCCAACAGTATATTCCAGGTGTACTGGACGACCAACACCCCGGCTGATGCTGGACTCAGGTCGGGATACTGACGGTCTGTGCTGTCAGGGCACGAAGACATCGGTTTCCCCAGGTCGCTCATTATAAGTACATGTATCTCTCAACACAATTGGTCTTTCATGAGTGAGTTTACCGCAACGTCGTCAACCATGAAAAGAGGCCTTATTCTCGAAAAAGACTCAAAGATATGAATACACAATGCCATTTAGTAAGTGGTCAAATGTAACGTATGTTATACTTGAGTTTACACTTTCTTAGTAAAGTACAGATTCTAGTACCGGATGGGACTCAACCCAATAAAAGTACTAGAATATGTACTTTAATGAGAAAGTGTAATCACAAAATATATATACAGTAGAACATGGTTATAGCGAACACGGATATAGCGTACAAACGGATATAGCGAACAAATTTAAAAGTCCCGTATATATATAAGTCACAAAGGCGTTTACGGTTTTGCAACAAAGTGGGGTAACTCGTGAAAAGAATGTCGTTTATTGATACGCACATAAAATATACTTTTCACCCGTTCTTTGTTCCGTCAGATGGAAACAGACCACAGACCTTCATCTGAAATGACGTGAATGCACACATTTGAAAGCCGCTGGGAACAGTTATACCATAGGGGTGGGGGGTTCAGACTGATATGATAGAAGAGCGGGGACTAATGCAGGTGTTAGACCTACACCACTTGGAGGAAATCCACCAACTAACTCGTATTCAAACACATGATATGGTTTCCAGCACGATTACGTCAGTCAGATCGTTTTACGCTCACAAAGGAGTATACCAACAAGAGGCTTTGCATATTTTACCGGAATCTTTGCTTTCGTCGTGACAAAGTTAAATTCCATTTCAGTCCTACTCTTATCCCATTTCAGAACTGTTTTCCAAGCACATAACTTAAAACTTCACTTTCTAAAACTTATGTTTGAATGTGCACTTGTCTACAATATGCACGAACATTGGTGGCTCTGACTACTGAAACTCAAATAAATTCAATTTCTACTAAGTTTTGTGTTTTCATGTCTGAACATCAGGTTGTTATGATTCTCCGCTAGAGCAATATCAACTGAAAGGGGAATTCGATTTGTGAATTCCCTTTTTATCAAAATACTAAAGAACATCATGTTGGTAACCGTTGCAGGGTTGTCGTGTACGTGTGCAGCAGCTTGTAAATCATAACAATCACTCGTATCTTAACGATATCATCAACAATGTTCGGTTGCGAGTTACTTTATTTCTAACAGTTAGCCTTTGAGTATGTGACGAAACCGCCGCCAGATGATTCAAGCGGTCTTTGCATATAACTGTACTGAGCCGACGTCCAGCTTTTCTATAAGAAAGTCATCAAAACCAAGCCATAAGTGTGTTTCCACTTGTGTGTCCCGCCATGCCTATCTGATAGGGCTGGATATTGCCCTGATTCTCATATTGTGATATATTGCAATAATTTAAGAGATATTGCAATATATATTGTGATATATTTTATGGAGGGTTTCTGCCCAAGTGCGTACATCATAACTTCATAATAGCTCTCTCTGTGCGACATTATCTTCTTAGTTGCTGTTACACCATACTTTCAGGCTCCGAGTCCTCATTGTGCATGGCTGTACGCCAATTATTTACAGATAAAAAAATGATATAGAACCTTAATGTGGAATGTTTAATTGAGGTATTGCAACAAAGGTTTGAGAACATAATGATACAGTATAGTAATAGTATAACATAAGTTTCATGGTCAGTGCTTCAACAGAATGCACTTCAATGCAGCTTGCAATTATTGTTACTGTATGTCAGTGATAAATTCAGATTCAACTCCAATATAAACATGTGTTGACATAAACTATTGCAAAATGAAACAAAAACAAGATTTAGGTGAACTACGTTGAGCTTAAACATCTCATGTGACCTCCAATAACTGTCATCCTTGACTACGATGTCATTATACAGTTAGTAAGGCTTAAATCTTTAGAAAGACTTTGTGATAAATTGACAACATATGTTTTATTATGAAACAAACAAAAAATAACAAAATAGTGGGAATCGTGAAATGGTCACTCAGAGCCAGAGCCTTTACTGAAGAATTGGTTAATTTGAGGCCACTTTGGGACCGTTCATAATTTATGGCTAGGGAGGGTGATGATGTTTTAATTTGGGGGCCACTTTGGGAGCTAAGGGGGCAGCAATTTTGTACACTATTGGGTGGGATGGGGTTTGTATATAATTTTGATTAAGATTATGCTAAGAAATTAGGTGAATGGGAGAGGGGGGGTGTCATTGATTTGTACATGACATATCAACGGGTTTTACTTTTAGTGGTGGGGCGGTGGGGTAGCCTAGTGGTTAAAGCGTTCGTTCTTCATGCTAAAGATTCCCCACATGGATACAATGTGTGAAACCACTTGTTTGGTGTTCCCCGCTTGGATATTGCTGGAACATTGCAAACAGCGGCGTAGAACCAAACTAATGTACTCACTACTTTTAGTGGTACTCGTACATGTTCAAGGCTGCTTGGGGAGGGTGATGATGATTTTGATTTTAGGGGTTGGGGGGTGTCCCACCCATTTACTGGGGAGCTAAGGGGGGCAGCAATTTTGTACACACGCATTGGGTGGGGTGGGGTTTGTATATAACAGTATGTTTAAGATTATGCTAAGAAATTAGGTGAATGGGAGAGTGGGGGTGTCATTGATTTGTACATGACATGCGGGGGGGTTGACTTATTTTGTACAAACATTTTACGGGTGGGGGGCTGGGGCATTCACTTGTTCATGCTTCTCCATACAAATCATCATCACCCCCAAGCCATAAAATATGAGCGGTCCTTTCATTCCTCCAAAATGTCACATATGAAACCATTCAAACCCACAAAACGTAACACATTTGGTAGATTTGGCACTTTTGGAGCCACTTATAAAGATTATCCCACTTGTAAAATGTTACATGAAACCAACAGAAATAAAAGTATATTTGGCACTTTTAGAGCACATTGTTTTGCTTTGGAAATCAAGGGCAGATAATGCAAAGGGAGCTAACTCTGGATGACCCAATATATTGCAGATTCTGAACAATATATCGCGATAATCGTATCGCGAGATACTGCACCGGTATATACCGGTAATATTGCACAGCCCTACTATCTGACCATTATGCTGTGACCCGTCATATTCTGAACATTTCAGTGTACACATCTTAAAACAACACCACTGTTTTGGTGTTCCCCGCTTGGATATTGCTGGAACATTGCAAACAGCGGCGTAGAACCAAACTAACGTACTCACGTACTCACTACTTTTAGTGGTACTCGTACATGTTCAAGGCTGCTTCAACAGTTACATGTACATAGGATCCTCGAAATCAAACAGATTTTGTTTTATTGCCCTGTTACTTCCAATAACAGGCTAGGTCTTGATGGTAATGTATTTATTTATCCACTGTCATTATTTTGTTTTCATGTCTGAAATATAGTCTTCAAATATACCAAATGATGCCACAACATTTTGTGCATGAATTCTCAAGCATGTATTCCCTATTGGTGCTGTGTGGTCCTGTGCATTGAGCTTAAGTCACAAGTTAAAGGTCACATGCAACGTAAAACACAACTTTGCAGATTCTGATACCTTTCGGTATGGACTTACCGAAACAAATCGTCAAAAATGCAAATTCAACTTATAAAGTTGAAAAATAACGTGATGAAAAAACCGCGCGAAATCGGAGTTCAAACGTTTCACTAATTTTCCCCCGACTTTTCGGGGGAAAACTGGTTTCAACAGCTGGACTGCGCTCATAGCACGTGCGCAGTGAAATAGGTTCGCGCAGCTTGGAAGCGGGTTGTCCGGTGAATACTCGGTGAAGGCTTTGGTGTGAGCTATTTTTCTAATGTTTCGTTGATATCTCACAGGCGCGAGCTTTTTATATGTTATGATAGTAAATTAACTGTTTATATAATTTCATTTGTCTATTTCACCACACGTTCTTCTTACCGAGTCACTTTCTCAGTTCGATACTTGAAAGCAATGTCATTATTTAGCGTTGACAGAATTTCTAACTGTGATATAGATATGTCGTTGTCACAGACAAAACTCAATGTCTTGTTTTATTGACACCTGTGTGTCTGCCTGTCTGTCTGCTAATGACAATATTCAATACACAGCTGCTATACACCATAAACAAAATGCATTGATTTATGGCCCGAGTTCGGTCTCTGTCACATTATGTGATTACACATACAGGCAGGTGTGATACTTGAACACATGACATGTTATGATGTCTGTTGATTGTAAAATGTTATACACAAAAAAATGAGCATGTATTTACAAAACCCAACATCTCTATATATACACACACAATGAGCCGTGAGGGCATCTGCAAATGAACCAGCCGTTACACTTGAGTGCACACCCACCCACTCTGACTGGGTTCGGTATCCCGGCTGCTTCGTTTCTTGGGAAGTAAACCCAAGTACACA